GTTAGCCGTGAGTGAGTGCTCAGACGCCTTCCAGCTACACTCCCAATTCCCGCCCTTTTCAAGCCATTCTTTCGCAATTTTCTTCCTGGAAGGGCCTTGTTCATGATCACTATCCATCGTGGAGTAAGCGTAGTTAGTTTCTAAAGCCGCAGTAAGAAATATAGCCACGGAAAATAGCCGAAATGTTCACACATTTGAGATGCGAGGGGAGGCCACATTGGTCACAACAATGGAGCGAAAACAATGGGCCCACGGCGTGTGCCAAGCCGCCTGAGGGCCACGAGGCTCAACAAAGAAAATGGGAAGACATCGGCGCGCATTTTAAAACCAGTCCCAAAAAAATCGGATAAAAACCTGATTTTTGGCGATTATTTAAAGTGGATGACGCAATGCTGCGTCATCCCCAGAATTACCGACAGTAAATGGATGACGCAATGCTGCGTCATGCCCGGGCGAAAGTGTTAAGACGAGTTTTCCAGGTAACGAGCTCGGTGCCAGAACGGATTAAACTCGTTAATAGAGGTTCCACTGTATTATATATCATTCCATGGGTCCCAAGAAAGTCAGTGGTAAGATTCAACCTAAGAAAACACATGTGAGGATGACCATAGAGGAAAAACAAGAGATCATTCATAGTGAATGGATGTGATATCTCAGGTTTTAGTGGTATGCAGGCAAAACTTAGGAGATTACCTCAGAGATGTCATCACTGCCTGATGTTATAATGGAAGGGGACTCCCCTTCCAAACGTTAACACCTCTCCTCCTCCGCCCCTTTCTCACCGTTTTCCATACGCCAACAAGAGTTCTCAATAAAGATATGATATACCTTTATTGGTTTATACCTAGATATACATTTTATACCAAATAAAAGTGGTATTTGGTATAAAATGTATTTTTAAGTTAATATTTTTGGGAGTGTTGAACGGATTAATTCAATTTACATTATTTCTTATGGGAAAATTCTTTTTTGAGTTACGACCTGTCTCTGGGAAACGGATTAAATTCGTAATTGGAGGTACCACTGTAGTCCTCTTGGCCTCTTGGTGGCCAGCCCAGCCTTGGTTTCAGGCGCTGCTTGCTTGGTGTCCGAACCCAGGGTGTTTTCCGCAGCTCTGCCTTTTCCAGTTGATTGGACCGGTCTAGTACTTGGGTGGCTCGGTCTTTTCCTCAGCTCTTCGCGTCTGGTCTTTTTGATACGGGTTTATCATCATTTGGCTTTTTCAGGACTGTCACTTAATGCCTAATACTGTTGCCTTATATCGTGCGGCACTGGTGGAGCCGCTCCTGCTTATTTTCAGGGTGAACCATCCTAGTCATTGGATAGGGTGCTCTCCTTTCTCTCTTCTCCTTAATTCGTGGTGGCCCCTTTGGTTTAGGATTGCTTTTCTAAGGTTCTCTTTCTGTTGGCATTGGCCTCTGGGGTTGGTGAGTTTTATGCTCTCCTCTGGTGCAGGGGTTTCTGCTCCTTCGTTTCTGGTAGTCGGTTTGTTTGTTTGCAGCTTTCCCCTTCTTTTCTGGTGAAGAACAAGACTGCTACCATCCGGAGGGGTCCTTGGGTCATTGATGCTTGGTTGGTCAGGCCAGGGGTGCATCATGTGCTGTCCGGTTGCGGCTCTTCACCATTAACCTATGCGCCTCAGCTTTTGTGGCCGGGGATGCGCTTTGGGTTGATCCGGTTTCCCTTATTCCCTGTTCCAGGGCTCTCCCAGGTCGTCTGCAGGATTCTTAATTCTAGCCAGCCTGTGGTCTATCCTCATGCCCAAGTCTTTTGGAAGTTTGCTGCTTTGGTTGCTGTCTCTAGCAACATGTCTTGGGCTGATATTCGGGCGCAAGGATTTTGGAGGTCGAACAGTCCAGACTGCCTGACATTTGGTTAACATTCCTGGTTCCGGGTGTTCATGTGTGGCTTTGGGTCTCGGGTTGCAGTTGTTGTCTCACCTTTGACTTGAGGCATGTTTAGTGGTCGCCTCCTGGTAAGTCCCTCTTTTACTTATCCTTGGCTATGTAGCTCCAGGGAGCCAAAGGGGCTTCCCACAGGAATCCAGGGTTGAATGTAATGAAATACAGTACCATTTCCTGGGTTAGCCCCGGAGGCTCCCCTGGCACCCTCCCTACTCCGGTCGGCAGTTTCGTTTTCCTTTTGATGCTTGGTGTCCGAACTGGGGTTGAATAGCCGGCATGGTGAGTCTGCTTTGAGTCCGGGGCGAGTCCAATGCGACAGCATGGGGTGACATTTGCTTGTTTCCTTGGAAATTGAGGGAGTTCTACCTCTCTGTTAGGCTTTCGGTTGTATTTTTCTTACCATGTGGGGTCTGTTTGGTTATGCCTACCTTTCTGGGTGCCTAACCCCAGTCGATGGCAGATAAGATTGATACCCCAATCACAGAGAGGGTTTTTCAGGGCCATGGCTCTCTTCGCCTCTCCGACAGGACCATGGGGGCCATATTCTGGCTAGTGATCCCTGGTAGGCGGAACTTTATTGACTATTTCCCTGGTCTAAAGATTGCATATTTGCCCAATAGCTCCAGGGAGCCTCCGGGGCTCACCCAGAAAATGGCATTTCATTACATTCAACGCTGTTTTTCTGTGGAGAGCACCTTCGACTCCCCGTAGCTATACCGGGCTGATGTGTATATATTAGACAGTGGCAACAGTCAATCGAAGGAGTTCTAAGCCTACCGGGGGACCAGAGCCAGAACCTGGTCCCCTCAAGAGAGGCACGAGGAGCAATGGCTTAAAGACACCCCTGTGTAATTGGAAGCCGTCTTTGTCTGCCATCTACCAAGTCAGGCACCCAGAAAGGTAGGAATCTGAAAACAAACTACTTCTGGTCAAAAATTGCAAACCAAAAGCCGAACTACCAAACAGAACTCTCCAATTAAAAACAAGGAAACAAACATGATGTCACCACAACTGCCGCGCAGCCGTCTGCGCAACCCCCCCTCCCTAGGAGAGGGACGGGGGTGGGGGGGTCCCAGACCTCCACGCCGGCAACTCTCCTCAGTTCAAGAGGCTGTTGTGTTGGTGATGGTCGATCGCTCTGGCTTCACTCTTTGCACAGTGCTGCAGTGTGGTGTTGTTGCTCTGTTTTTGTGGCATGTGAGCTGGAAGTAACACAAGAGTACTGGGGCTGCATGCACCTAGGGCTACCTTCCCTAGGTGCCCTGTAAGTACTGCCTTTGCGGCCTCGGGGTTATCTTTCATGAGCCATTCAGGAGCAGCTACCTCCATGTGGTTTTGTTGCTGCTCGGTGATTGCCTGCCCTTGGGGGTTCAGCTGGGGAGGTGATCCCCGAGACTGCTCGAGCCTCAAGACCATCTAAACCCTATTCTGGCTCAGAAACCCATAGACAATTCGTGGCCGGAAGCAGGGGGGGGGAAGCACCAGAATGAACCACAGAAGGGGAAGGACGAGAGGGGGGCGACTAAACCAAGGTCGAAGCGACCCCCATCCCCAAGTCCGGGTCCCTATAAGCAAAACGGGGCAGCCTCGGGGCATCCGGGTGAGCAATCAACCGAGCATATTGCAACAACCTAAATCGCGTATGCAACGCCTGTGCCGCCTGTACCCTCATAAGATCATCACTAGACTGGGTAAATTGAGTCACTAGCAAGCAGCAGAATTCACAAGACTCAGGGTCGAATGTGTCACCGACCCAACAGGCAGCGTGACGAAGCCAAAAACAGCGAGAGTCACCCTGAGACAAGGGGGACCAAACAACCCTCAAACTCGCACGAAGCGAGGGGGAATTCCGGGATCACATCCATCGGACCCACGCGCCCCCTAGGGGTTTCTCAGGGTCCTGAGCGCTTAATGAGACTCACGCCCAGGTAACCCCATGCAGGGTACTGCTAACCAGCGCCCAAAACTACTAAGCAAACACACTAAAACTGGTCCCCAGGGACATGTACACTCACAGGGTCATAGCAGGGGGCATCACCAGAGAAGCACCGTAATAGGCCAAGCACAGACGGGCAAGAAGCAGGCCAGATCCCTCCCACAAGGTAAAAAGAAAAAGAAAACCCTGCAAGAGGTCAGCGTACCCTAGAGGAACAGAGCCGGCCGCTGTAAGTGGTGAAAACTAGCTGCGCAGTACCCTGCGTCCCACCAGTGCAAAACTGCCTCTTACCCTAAGGTAAACAAGGGAGACAAAACACCCAAGTACCCAAAGGGCGGCCGAAAAACTGAGCAGTAAAACAGCCCAGCAGAGGCAGGACCCAAGAAACTTATGGAAGGTAACCCCAAGCTCCAAGGGCAGTACTTACAGGGCACCTAGAGAAAGAAACCCTAGGCGCATGCAGCCCGAGTACTGGAGAATAATTTCTGGCTCTTGCACCCCTGGAAGACAGCCACCACACTCAAAGCACGGTGCTGAAACTATCACTGTAGCCAGAGCACCCGACCGTAGCCTCTAGCATCAGCCAAAGAACTGAAGGGTGGATATCCGGCGTGGGGGAGGTCTGGGGCTTCCTCTTTCCCCTCCCGGGGAGGGGGAGCTGCGCAGACAGCAGCGCTGCGACGTGTGACGTCATGCTCATTTCTTTTAGGGGAGTTCTAGTCACTTGTTCGGCTTTTGGTGGCAACCAAAACCAGAATAGGGGTTTGTTTTGAGGTGCTTACCTTTCTGGGTGCCTGACCCGGTCGATGGCAGACACAGAATGCTTCGAACCACACGGGGGTTTCTATAGGCCATTGCTCCCCCATGCCTTTCTGAGGGGGGCCAGGTTCTGGCTCGTGGTCCCCTGTAGACCCATTGAACTCCATACACATGACTGATGCCAAAGTCTGACGTTAGCATATCAACCTAGTAAGCTCCGGGGAGCAGAAGGGGCTCCCCCAGAAAAAATAATTAAGCCAAAAATATCAAATGTAGTTGGGAAAATATTTTGTGAAAGCTCCATTAAGAAACTACAGTATAGTATTGACAGTAATATTGTTTTCTGAACTGCTTCAAGCCTCATAGTTTCATAGTTGCCTCTGTCTTTGTACATATTACAGATGATGAAATATGGGGTGATATCTCGCGCTAACTTAATAACTGACCTACTAGACTGGGATACCCTGTATGTTGCTGGCCGCCTACACAAGCCTGTCCTCATGCTGCACCAGGGTATGTGTTATCACGAAAAGGAAAACTCATAACATGGGTTTATTCAGCTAATGAGAAGGATCATAGTTCTTTATGTTATTAAATATAGCTGGAAAAACTGTACGTTCACCGTCAATACATATTCATGAATTTGGGAAAAATTGCTACATTACGTTTGAAAATTTAATGTGGAGATAAATAGGCAAAGTATAGGTAGAGGAGACAACATAGAGTAATGGGTGAGACGCTGAGTGCATACACTTTTAATGTGAATGGCATAAATGAGGAGGGTAAGAGAGAATTGGCAGCAAATTTGACAAACTGAAAGATAGATTTGTTAGTCATGCGATATCTTAAAAGGAAGGTTAAATGGGAGAGAATGAATGATGAAGACTTTCAAGTGGTGGAAGGGTTAAGAGGTTGGGGGGTTAGTTGTGTGGTCAGGAACAGTTGAAAGTTATAAGGGTAAATAGGCCGGGTTAGCTTTGTTCATATTAGAGACCATGTGAGTTTTATGTGTTAATCCAAGAATGTGCTGAATTGAGTGTAATATAGGTAGCAAGTGACACAGTATTATGCCCGTATATTTGCTCCAGTGTGTAAGAAGAATATTAGCAGAAAGAACGACAAGGCAGTGTCCTTGCGATCAACTAGATGATTGTGTGGAGAAGGTAAAAGATGCTGTACAAGATTTTTGTGCTGGGGATATGACTGCTAATGAAGGAAGTAAGGAGGGGAGGGGGGAGAATGACTGCAGAGGAGTTATTAGAAAGTGGGATGTGTCCGGCGTAAACAGAAATGGGGATTTCTTGGTGAATCTGTGTTCAGAGAGTTGTTGTTTGTCAGATGTTTTCTTTGAGAATAGATTCATAAACAGGTGTACATGGAGGCAACAGGATGGGAAAAGAAATAAAACAAAAGAATTTGATTATCTATATATGTGTAGACAAAAGACATAAAAGTACTGAGGTGTGAAAAATGAAAGTTAGTAGCGAGAGGAATTTTTCAAGTTGAAGTCACCGACTATCAACAGTCGTGATCTATCGTTATCCGCTCTCGCTATAATCTCTCTCATTATTGTTATAAGACCTTCGCGTTTACTATCTAGCGCCTCCTTTGACCATGTGCTGCTTGGCGGTGGACTATATGCATTTATGATCATTAGTTTATCATCCTCATATCATCCTCATCCTGATGGCAGATCTCTAGTGCTAATATGTCAACTTCTTGTGGATTGGCAGTCATTATTTCTTTCACTTTTAGGTGTTCTCTCACCAGCACAGCAACGCCACCACCTTTCCTAATTTTTCTGTCCCGTCTCCAAATTGAGTAGCCCCTTGGGAATATGACCTCATTTAAAATAACATCTTCAAGTTTTGTCTCCGTGAGTGCAACAGTGTCTGATGTCTGCAGCTGTATTACATCACTTAACTCCAGTATCTTCGATCTCACTCCATCTATGTTGGTTTATGCAATCTTCAGGAACTTGTTCCCCCTCTCCTTATTCTTCACTCCCCCTCTCTCTATTGATTTTGTTGGTTTGCCTTTATGTACCACTTTACTGGTCTGCCTACCCCTATCACTTTGTAGAAAAAATAATTGATTTCTTTTTCATTCCTGCTCTCATTTAAACGTTTTGCCTCAGCGAGTTTAAGTTTCAGCTTCTGTCTGTCTTCTTTTGAAAGATCTCGTCTTAACGACCACCCTTTCCCATCTTCATCACTTTGTAATTTTCTGGCATTCCTGAGTACTTCTTCCATCTGTTTGGCACCGTTTAGGGTGATCCTCAAAGGTCGATCTTTCCCTTTTACGTATTTGCCTATTCTCCTGTAGTCGCACACATTCTTTATGGTAGTAAGACCTTCTACGAGGCCAACAATTTTATCTACTACTTTCGCTTCTTCTACAGCTCTTTTTGACCTAGATGTTATCTCCTTTTCTTTGCAACCAAAAATGATCTGGGACTTACTCCGATCAACTGTGTTTTGCACCAACTTTGGGTTAGATGCCAATTCCTTTCTCACTTCCAGCCTAATGTTTGTTTTATCTTGGTTTCTGCAGTGTTTGACTTCCTTTACTGCTTCTTCAATTTTTTCCTACTCCTTGGCCACTTGTGCATAAGTGAGTTGCATATCTTTCTTGCACTGTTCTATTCCCTGTGTAACTTCCTCCATCTGTGCTGATAAAAGCTGTTTCTCCTGTTGAATTTCCTTACCTAACCTATAGTAGTCATTTATGTTTAAATTTACTTTAACTTCTTCCAAAGCTATTTTTTAAGAGTTTATTTTCTTCTTCCATGGCTTTGCAATTTGTTTCCAATTGATTCTTATCCTTGCACAAGTCTTTCACTAAACCCTCAAGACATAAAACTTTGCTATTCAAATGGTCATTACTTTCTTTCAATTTACTAATTATTTCTTCATGAGAGTTCACCATAGTATCTAATTTTACCAACTTGTTGTGTAGACTGGTTATATCAATGCTTTCTTCATTGAATCCCTCAAAATCAAGCTCTGTTTTGTTTTTCCCCTTGCCAGTGGCCATCTTGAATGTTCTTCTCTGCACTGTAAACACTAGGGGCAACTTTTTCTCATCAGATTTTTCACTTCCCTTAGCACTTTCCTGTTATCTCACCTATTTTTCAAAAGCACTGTACCTTTATGTTCTCTGGGACACCACTCACTATCATCATCCTGTACTACAATACTTAGGATTGTTGAAATATCCTCTGATGCAAATGTTGACCCTAGGGGTGTCACCTTTTGAATCCTATCAAATTTTGAATTTGAGTGTTGGACGTTTTATGTTTCCACCGTTACGTCCGAAACTCCTCTGCCGCAGATCTGGAAATGTATCCGCAAGATAATGGGTAAGTTCATTCCCGCTCTCTCGTTGGTCCTTCACCTCCGTGGTACTTTTGTGGTGGACCTGGTGCAGGTTGCGACCGAACTGGGTTCCCACTTTTCATCTGTTAGCTCTGGTTCTCATCTTCCCTCAGCCTTTCCTTCTTCGTAAGCCTGTTCTTGAATCTCGTCCTTTAGATTTCTGTACCCATCTCAGACTTCACTATAACAATCCCTTCTCTCTCTGAACATCAGTCTGCCCTTGCCCTCTGCGGTTCTATGGCAGTGGGCTTCGATGACATTCATTATGAGATGCTTTGCCATCTCCCTCCATGCACGTCTCAGTATTTGCTGAGTCTGTATAACCATGTTTGGGAGTTGTCAGTCCCTGAGGACTGGCTCGATGCTGTTGTCCTCCCTGTTTGGAAACCAGGGTCTCTCGGGACATCCCCTCAGGACTTCCACCCTATTGCCCTCATGAGTTGTGTCTGCAAACTCTTTGAACGTATGGTTAATGTTCGTTTGATGTGGTTCTTAGAACACTATCACCACCTCTCCCCTTCTTAATTTGGTTTTTGCAAATGCCGCAGCACAACAGATGTCCTGGTGAACTGGTCCTGGTGAGAGGTCTATATTCGTCCTGCTTTTGCTGCGAAGACCTCCGTTATTGCCATCCTTTTTGACCTGGAAAAGGCTTACAACACAGCCTGGAGATATATTCTGTCCCAACTTTGTTTTCTTGGCCTTCGTGGTAATCTCCCTCTCTTCCTCCAAAGTTTCCTTTCTCGTCGTTTCTTTTCAGTGAGGCGTGGTGCCACTGTCTGCCTCTTCAGCAATACGAGAGTGTGCCTCAAGGTAGTGTTCTGAGCACTTCTCTTTTTCTTGGGTCCCTCAATGGTCTTCTTTGCCCTCTTCCTTCTGACGTCTTTTCCGCTCTCTATGTCAACAATCTTACCCTTTGTTGTCGGGGTGATAAGTCGCCTTTTCTTCAATGGCGGCTTTAACTTGCGATTGATGCCGTGTCGTCTCGGGCTACCAATAATGGCTTCAAGTTCTCTACGTCCTAGACTTGTGCTATGACTTTTACTCGGAAGTGTGGCATTCATCATTCCTCTTTGTCGTTTTATGGTCATCCCCCTTGTGTACAGGGATTCTGCTAAGCTTTTGGGGTTAATCTTTGACGCTCGTTTGTCTTGGTCGCTCCATATCTCTTACCTCCGAGTTGAATGTTCTAAGGCTCTTAACCTCCTTAAGGTTTTGTCCCATACTTCTTGGGGGAGCGGATAGGCACACGCTTCTCTCTTTACATTCCTCTCTCATACTGTCTAAACCCGATTATCGTTGCCCTGCTTACTCGTCTGCATCTCCTGCTCTTCGCCGTCTTGATGCTTTGCATTATACTGGGTTGCGCCTCAGCTTCGGTCCCTTTCGTTCAACTCTCACCCTCAGCTTGTATGTTGACACTGGCTTCCTATCTCTTCAGGACCACTGTGATCGCAACTGTCTTTGCTATCTTGCGCAGTCCTTATAACATCCTTACTCTCGTGTCTGTCGTGCTTTGACATTCACCCCTCCTGTAGTTCCTGTTCCTCTTCACCACCTCCCTCTTTCTGTCCGTTTGTCTCGCTTACAGGATTCTCTTTCGATTCATATTACCGATGTTTCTCCTCGTATTGTTCCTTCCTTGCCCCTGTGGAGGGGCCCCCTTCCAAAATTTTGTACATCGCTTTCCCGTACCACTAAAGCTTTTACCCCCTCCTACGGTTCTGAAATGCCTTTTCCTTGAACACTTTTCTTCACACTCCCACTCCATTTCCATCTTCACCGATGGGTCTAACTGCGGACGGAGTAGGCTACTCTGTTGTTATTCCTGACCACACTTATATGTGTCGCCTGCCTCCAGAGACTAGCATCTTCACAGCAAAACTTTATGCTATTCTCTATGCTCTTCATCTCCTGCTTTCTCATTGTCAATCCTCCTTTGTGGTTGTAGTTGACTCTCGTAGTGACCTCATGGCTCTAGGGTCCTTTCACCCAGTCCATCCGGTGGTCGTCGAGATTCAACATTTGATGTTTCTCATCTCTAGTAAATTGAAATCAGTCGAGTTTTGCTTAGTTCCCAGCCATAGTGACGTTTCTTTAACCTTTGTGTTGCTAAGGGCTATTTAGCCATTGTCA